CTGACTACGTGTATAAACTAAACAAAGCCTTGTATGGCCTCAAACAGGCCCCTAGGGCTTGGTTTGAACGTCTTACAACCTTCTTACTTGAAAATTCATTCACTCAAGGAGGAACAGATAAAACACTCTTTATAAAACATGTAAACAATAAAATTCTTCTTGTGCAAATCTATGTAGACGACATAGTTTTTGGATCCACTGATCCCTCTCTTTGCACTGATTTTTGCAACTCTATGCAATCTGTTTTTGAAATGAGCATGATGGGGGAACTTAAATTCTTCCTTGGTCTTCAAGTTAAACAAACTCCCTCAGGCATATTCATTAACCAGTCAAAATATTTACAGAATATGCTTAAGAAGTTTGATCTCAACAATGTTAAACCTAGTCCAACTCCTATGGCAGTAAATCTCAAGCTAGATCGAGATGAATCAGGAACTCTTGTAGATGAGAAAAAATACAGGGGCATGATTGGATCTCTGTTATACCTTACTGCCAGTCGACCAGATATCCACTATAGTGTGTGTATCTGTGCTAGGTTTCAGTCAGCTCCTAAAGAGAGTCACTTGTCAGCTGTAAAAAGGATTTTTAGATACCTAAAAGGAACTCCTGAACTAGGTCTTTTGTATCCTAAGCACAACAAACTTCTCTTTGATAGGCTATAGTGATTCAGACTTTGCTGGTAGCTTAACAGATAGGAAAAGCACAACTGGTACCTGCCAATTTGTAGGAACATCCTTAGTCTCATGGTCATGTAAGAAGCAGGGTGCAGTTTCCCTATCTACTGCTGAGGCAGAATACATTGCGGCTGGAAGCTGCTGTACCCAGCTGATATGGCTTAAAAATCAACTAAAAGACTATAGCATGAAAATAGATTCGATACCCCTTCTATGTGATAATACTAGTGCTATATGTATGGCAAAAAATCCGGTTCAGCATTCAAGAACCAAACATATCGAAGTTAAGTATCATTTTATTAGGGATCTAGTTAACCAGAATACCATAACCATCAGTCACATCCCTACTGAATATCAATTAGCAGATCTATTTACTAAGCCCTTGAATGCTGATCGATTTATCTTCCTTTGTTATGAGATAGGGCTGCGATCTCCAGAGAATCTGGAAGATCTGCCTTGACTGTTTTTACACTGATATAATTTCCTTATGTATATAGCTGCTTTTACTTCTTTTCCTGTTTTGTTCGGCTTACTTTGTTTACTTCTTCCTCTTGAGTGTCCTTGAGTCTCTATTTAAGTCTGCTTTGTTATCATTTTCTTTATTCTTGTTTTAAGTGTCTTAGAATTCCTCTCTGTTAGCAGTCATGGTGCTAGGGTTCTCGAAAACCTTCACAGGTACCTTGTTCCACGATCCTATTCCTGCAAATGCTCATCGTCATTCCATCTCTTTTGCAAACCGCCCATTTATTCCCACTCATCATGTTCCTTTCGCTGATCTCATAGAATATGGGTTAGATGTTACTGGGTATGCTCACAATCTGGGTTGGGATTTTCTAATCGATGATACTCCTGAGCACATCTGCCCTGAAGGAGTGCGTCTGTTTTTCTCGAACTTTAGGTCTTTTGGGATTCATACCCGCACTTTCACAACCCTGATCTATGGCAACCTTGTCACAATCCCTCTGGAGGATCTTAGGCGTCTGCTTAATATTCCTAGGTTTGGAGAAATCCTGGCAAACGACTCTGAGTTTCCTCTCTTCAACTTTGACATAGTTCATGAGTTTGTGCTTCTTACTGGTCATGAACCTGATGCCTACCTCACACTGCCTGCTGCTTTTCTGCTGCCCTCCCTTCGTACTTTTCATTACCTTTTGACTCGAAGGTTTCTCCCTCGAACTATCCTTCTGGATCGAGTTACCCCACTAGATCTTTGGGTTTTGCAGCATGCTGTTCATGGTGTCCCTCTTGATTATTGCCACCTTCTGTTCGGACACCTTTATCCCTTCCAGCAGTTTGAATACCTTAGCCCTCTCCCGTTTGGTCCCCTAATTACTCGTCTCATCATCCGTCTTGGTATCTCAATGGACCCGTTCCGAATTATTACTCCCAATGTCTATCTTACTGCTGACGACATCCTAGACGAGATTGCGATTGCCGTTGAGGGGGAGGACACTGCGGATGATAGCGATAATGAGGATGATGACAACTCCTCTACTGATAAGAGCTCTGAAGATGATGGACCGGTGGAGGTCGCTGCTGCTGCTGATCTTGAAGGAGAGGTCGTTCCTAGCTCTGACATTGAAGTCCACTGGATCAGCAGTGATGAAGGTTCTGATAGTGATAACTCATCAGATTCCTCTTTTGGTACTCCATCCTTGGCAGAGGTCCTGGCTGATCTCAGGGCAGCTTATAGCTCTGAGTAACTTGATTGGTTTGTTTTGGTCTGAATGATGTGTTAAACCTAGTTTGCATGAATCTTGTTTGACTGGGATGGTTTGCTGGATGTGTTTTACCAGCTTTGCTTAGCTTCTTGTTTGGACAGGTTTGCTGGATCTGTTTTACCAGCTGTTTTAAACTGATGGTTATCTCGGACTAGTTGTTTGTGCTGGTTGGTTTCTCCTTGCTCTGGAAATGGTATTTGTCTTTGCAGGTTTCAATCGGACAATCAGCAATCTCTGACTTAGGGGGAGATTGTTGACTGGTAAGTTTCCTTTCGACTCAAGTCAAGAGATTGCTTGAATCAATCAAGAGATTTGAAGCCGCAATCAAGGGGGAGCTGCCTGGCAAATTCACTTGCCTTGTCTGGATAATTTCGAAAAGCTCCTGCCCAACGGTCGTTCTTCAGGAAGCCTATTTAAAGGAGAAGCAGAGTCTGTCTTTAATTAATTTTCAATTCAGCATTCTTTACGGTAAAGGGTAAAGGGATTGGGAATTGAAAAGGGTTTGATCTCTACTGAGGTATAGGTTCAGTGGATCAAAAGTGTAACGAATTCCTGCGCGAATTCGGGTCTAGGTTTCTTCACTTTGATTTTCACATTTGAGTTTGTAACTTTCAGTTTCTTTGATCGTCGGTCTAGAGTCAAGAAAATCAAAGTGTCTCTCGGAATAGTGTCTACTATTCCGGGACGAGGAGTAACCCTGTGGTGAACCTCGTTAAAAATCCCTGTGCATTTCCTTTCTGCTGCTCTTCTCCTCTCTGCTTCCCCCGTTTCTTTTTGTTACTCTGTTTTTGTCCCAAGGACTCTGCTCTGTGGCTTGGTGAAGAAGACGATCCCTCAAGTCTCTTCTCCGGGTCTGGTTCTGGGCCGCAAGTAGAACTGGTCCGAAATCCATCTGCATGATTATTGGGCCAGGGATAGTTGAGCCCACTCGAGTTCTTTTCTGTCCATTAAGCAAAGTGAGTCAAAGGTTAGACCTTTAAGGTTAAAACCGGTTCGATTGAGAACAGAAGACTCTTAAGTCAAAATCCCTAATTTGTTGTTCATTTCAATCGATCGAGTTCTCTGTTCCTTCGTCTCTTCACCTTGCTCTCTGATTACAATGAAAGCTCGCAAAGAAGCTTTCCTTTGAGAAGGTGGGGGTGTGGGGGAAATACATATACAACTCATACAATCGAATAGAATCAACTAACTAGGGAAGAATCAAGAATACGAATCATTAATATACCATCTAACTATATTATATATCAACTTCATTAGTGAGTATTAGCAAGAAGATAAAAATATCACATGCATCCCCTCAACGTTAAACCCAAAGTGATGGTGATCGATTAATTAATTCTGTTTACTAATCGAAAGTAGAAAGAATCTGCATGTGACGCATAATACGTAAATGTGTGGGTAATGACAGAGGATTGGTAATTAGTCATTTGAGCAAATATTTCCTTAGTGTTCTTCGTTCACTCTATATGCTGGATTCGTAATTTGTTGCATGTCACAATCGCATTGCTTTCTGCGGGAATGCACCTTAATTAAATAATTCAGTTGCACATGATCTCTTCCCGTTTCGAAGAATGGGGTACTGTCCTGCCAGTTGTGACTTGTGTGTGGACGTACTTTTCCTCCTTTCCCTACGATTTACGGAGAATTGTTAAATATGAAAATAATCATGTACATACGTACGTATGCACAAATACATGCCTAATAATATGTACGTGAATAGGGTTTGTATTGAGTACCTTTATAAAAATTACCAAACACATACAATTTAGCTGGCCAATTGTGACACCAGATAAGAAATAAATAAAAATATATTCTTACATATATTGAGAACCCATTACTTTCCTAATCTCCGGTGTTAATTGAAAGTTCATCATTCTAATAGATAGACATGATAATGTGGTTGCACATAAGACAACATCCTTTAATACAAGATTCCAGATTTGCTATTGAACGGGGAGTTTGTTGTCTTGTCTGGACGACTTCAGCCATTAAAAGCCAACGATCCCACTGGTACGTACTTGCATGCATTTTGGGCACACCGGTCCGGCCCTGCCCTTAGATTCCCTCCTTGGTGAAACGAGTATAAATAATAGAGCCAATATGCCATTTAATTAAGCAATTATTTCCTTAGGGTTGTGTTGTGTGTTCACTATATATACTATACAACTTGGATTGGTAATTAGTTGGATTGGTAATTAGTCAGTTGCATGTCACTATCTTAAATTGGTCTGTCTTCCCGTTTTTGGAGAGAATGGACACTGACCGGTCACTTGTGGTTACGTACGTATTTTCCCAAGATTTACTGTGAGCCGTTGGATGTAAAACTAATCATTCATTTCCAGTGTGTGGGTACGTAGGATTATTTGAATTCAATTACCTTATAATAAAAATGTATCATTATATATATTGAGTATATTGACAATCGAACACTGAGAAATACCTTAATCTCCTAGTAGACGACAATATGTGGTTGTTGCGCATAAGACAGCATATATATGCATCTGTTGCATGCATTTAGGGCACACCCTAATTAGCTCCGAAGCTAGCTAATATATATATATCATATCTCAGCTGCCTCATTGTGGACTACGTACACCGGCGGGCGGGATATGATCTTTCCCTAGCTACCTTAATTCACTGCACCATCGACCTCTTCTATCTGCCAATCACCATACCAACAACAGACAACAACAAATTATTAATTCCTTTGCCTTTCCCACCGGCGGAACCAAACGCTGAGAAGTCAGAGCAGCTTAATTCACCGCACCATCTCTCTTTTCTATCTACTACCGGGCCACCACCACCGAACCAAAAGCTTTCCGCCGCCAGAGTGACTGCCCGCGTCCCGTCCTCCACACCTGACTGATCAACATGGCCGGCGAATCCCCTTCCCATTTTTTTGTACGTATTACGGCATCCGCACCTTGTTTTTATATTATTATTGCATGCGGCGTTATTCAAATTAAATTGGCTACTTATAATTAAATACTAAATAATATTGGGCTTTCCTGTTCACTTGGTAGGTTGTGTACGCACGAGAGGTTTGAGACCAACAACCGCTCTCCGACGTCAACAACAACAACAACAATACTTCCCTCTTCCCTCTCTCTCTCTCTCGCCGTCGTCCAAATACATATATAACAAGGAAGGTGTAGAGGCGGCTTTAATTTGCACGCATTCTCAGTTAAGCTCAACGTACCTGCCTACGTGCTTCAGATTTCGTTATTTACTTACTTGCATTGCAGACGACATGTTTTAATTAATTAAGGGGACGCCACTAATGAAGCTGATGGTGTGTTTGTTTGTTTGCAGCAACTGGTTTTGTTTCTCTTTCAATTTTCTTCCTCGGGAGCTAGCTGCCGAAAATTAATATATCGATCACAAGACTGGAAATTGGTTAGCTAGCTATGAGAAATCTGGTAATGAGCTGGATTGTGGTGGAAACCCGCAGGGTTTCTGGTTGCCTCAAGGGCATGTTATATATGTGCAAATAGAGCTGACTGTACAGGGGAAGAAGAAAGAAAGGAAAAACAAAATATAACGGTAACTATTCTATCTCCCTATCAATCTAAGCCACGCGTCTATGTACAGTAAAATCGGAATGGGTAACTAACACCGAGCGGAACGACACCGTTCTCGCTCAGCTCCTCAATTGCTTCCGAGATAGAACGACGACGTTCCTCGAGCTCCTTCAGTGTCAGCAATGGCGGATCCTCCTCGACTTCAATCCAATCCTGTATCTATATATATATCTTGATATCCTCCCTCAAGCTGACGCATACAGATTCTGTATGTTCAGCTTGGACAATAGGAATTGAAGTCGATACCTGCTAAGTCCTTTGGTAAACATGTCGGCGATCTGATTCTCTGTTTCCAGATGAGACAGATTGATAAGCTTGGACTGCAGGAATTGTCGAACTACATGACAGTCGATCTCTATATGTTTCGTTCGTTCATGGAACACCGGATTTTCTGCAATGTATATAGCAGATCGACTGTCACAGAATATTGCCACAGGTTGCTGATGATCGACATTAAGTTCTTGTAGCAATCTCTTTACCCACACAACTTCACAAGTCAGCTGAGCTAGAGCTCTGTACTCAGCCTCGGATGAAGAGCGGGAAACAGTTCCTTGCTTCTTGGATTTCCAAATAATTAGAGATTTGCCCAAGGAAATGCAGTAACCTGTTGTCGATCTCCTTGTATCTGGGCAGGAAGCCCAATCTGAATCGCTATAACCTCTGAGTAGGAGATCAGATTTGGATGAGTAAAATATGCCTTGAGCAGGTGCTGTTTTCAGGTACTTGAGGATCCTATATGCTAGCTGCATATGGCATGTAGTTGGGGCTGCTTGGTACTGACAAAGTTGCTGTACAGCAAACGTTATGTCAGGGCGAGTGATGGTTAGGTAGTGCAGACGCCCCACAATTCGTCTGAACAAGCTCGGATCATCCAACAATGGTCCGTCATCAGCTGAAAGACGTGTTTTCATATCAATCGGGGTGGCCACAGGTTTGGAATCTCCATACCCTGAATCCAGAAGAAGGTCAGTGCAATACTTCTTCTGGGTAATATGAATGCCCTCCCTTGATCGAGCAATCTCCAAGCCCAGGAAATAGTGGAGATGGCCGAGATCACGGATCTTGAATTGGGATGCCAAGAACTGCTTGAGAGCATTCATAGAAGGCAGATCATCGCCAGCAATAATTATGTCGTCGACATAAACAAGGAGTACTGATGAGCCAGAAGAAGAGTGATGAACAAACAGCGAGTAATCACTCTGTGATTGAGTGTAGCCAAACTTCAACAAGGCTTGAGTGAGTTTGGAAAACCATTGACGAGAGGCTTGTTTAAGGCCGTAAAGGGATTTTCTAAGTCTGCACGCCTTGCTGCTGTCATGAACACCAGGAGGCAGTTCCATGTACACAACCTCGTCAAGATCCCCATGTAAGAAAGCGTTGCTTACGTCAAGCTGAAACATCTCCCAATTCTTAGCAGCAGCTAGAGCCAGAAGAGTCTTAACAGAATTCAGCTTTGCTACTGGAGAATATGTATCCAGAAAATCAATGCCATGTATTTGGGTGAACCCCTTTGCCACAACTCGAGCCTTGTATCTTTCAATGGATCCATCAGAGTTGAACTTGATGGTATAAACCCATTTACACCCAATAGCTCTGAGATCAGGAGTCCTGTCCACCACATCCCAAGTGTGGTTAGCACCGAGAGCCCTCATTTCCTCATTCATTGCCCTTCGCCAATGTTCATGCTTCACTGCCTCTTCAAAAGTTGTGGGAATGGAAGCCATTTCAACTGCACAAACATACTGTCTATAACCAGGTGACAACTGGTCATAGGAAATACAGGCAACCAATGGATAAATGTGTTTGTCATGCTTGGAATTAAGAGACAGGACATAGTCATTGTACTTGACAGGAACTACATGGTTCCTAGAAGGTTTACGAAGGGCAATTGGCTGTGTTTGGGAAGGAGAAGGAGAAGAAAGTTGAATAGGAGAGGGAAGTGGTGTTTGAACAGAAGAAGAATGAGGGGAAGAAGAAGATTGTGGTGAGATAGGTGTAGTAGTAGAAGGTGTAACAGGTTCAGGTGAGATAAGTGTTGGGTTTGGAGAGGGTGCAGGGGGTGGTGGTGAGTAGGCAGTAGGTGTTGGTGCTGGATGGAGTGGTGGAGTGGTGGGGAAAACAGGGGGAGCAGGTGTATTAGTTTCAAGTGTATCAGCAGAAGAAGTGGAACAAGGTAAGATGTGTTCATGGAAAACTACATCACGTGAATGGAATACTTTATGATCCTCTAGATCATATAACTTATATCCCTTAATCCCTGAAGGAAAACCAAGGAACACACACTTGCGTGCTCTAGGGAAAAACTTTGTTCTATGATTTCCTAAAGTGCTAGCATAGCACAAACATCCAAAAACACGTAGGTAAGAAAGGTCTGGAGGTTTGCCATATAGGATTTCATAGGGAGTTTTATTTTTCAGAGCTATGGTAGGCAATCTGTTTATGAGAAACACAGAATGAAGGATGAAATCAGACCAAAACTTGAGGGGAAGGCCTGATTGGAATTTCAATGCTCGAGCCACATTCAAAATGTGTTGATGCTTGCGCTCAACTCGAGCATTCTGTTGAGGAGTCTCTACACATGACATCTGATGAATGATGCCATGTTGGGAATAGAAGTCAGGAGTATGAAATTCAGAACCTTGATCAGACCTAATGATTTTGATAGATCTGTCATACTGGTTCTTAATCATAACAAAGAAGTCCTGCACAAGCTTTCTAGTTTCACTCTTAAATTTCATCAAGTAAACCCAAACACACCTCGATTTGTCATCCACAATGGTGAGAAAATACTGAAAACCATTGTAACTAGGGGTAGCCAAAGGACCCCAAATGTCAACGTGAATAATATCAAACACATCAGTAGCAACAGATTGACTGGAAGGAAAGGGAAGACGTTTCTGTTTGGCTAAGTGACAAATATCACAATGATATAAAAGATCTGAATCTATACTAGGTACAGCCTTCTGTAACTCCTTAATCCTATGCTGTGATGGGTGGCCAAGCCTCCAATGCCAAAGGTCAAATGTTTGTGGTGTGTATGTATGTGTCTTGAGGGAATTGACATGTATGGAAGTGTCTTCTGATGGTTTGGTAAGCTGGTAAAGACCTCTACTCTGACGGGCAAAACCAATCTTCTTCAATGTGAGAAGGTCCTGGATATGGCAAACGTTGGATTGGAAAGTGAGTGAGATTGGCAAGGATTTGGTAAGTTTACTAACAGACACTAAGTTGAAAGAGAAGGCTGGAACAAACAACACTTCATGAATTGTAAAGTTTGGAATCAAAGAGACAGATCCAGAATGCGTAGCAGGGGTCTTGGAACCATTTGGTAAAGTAATGAAAGTATTTTGTATTGGCCTGTAACTAGTGAAACAAGATAGGGAACAAGTAACATGATCTGTTGCACCAGTATCCAAATACCAAACATTGACAAGCTCATTCATATTCATTGGTTGCACTGCATAGTATGTTGAGAAAATGAGTTTACCTGAATGGTTTTGGTTTACTGCCTTGTATCTCCCTACTGAGTTGACCATAGGTTGATTCTGTGAAGATGATGGAGAGTTCATGTGCTGTCCAGGAGAGACAGGAGAAGTTGGTGATTGTGGTGGGCTAATCTGACAAAGCAGCTTCTGAAGCCTCCCAATGTCTTCCATAGACAGTCTGATATTAGTGAATCCATCCCCACCATTCTCATTTGCATTCTTGGAATCTGGTCGTGGTAAGATACCACTTCCCATATCTGTTCCCTGAATCTGCCCAGCAAATGCATTAGATGAACCTTGCTCTTTGTTCTTTCTCTTTAGCTTGAAACAGTCTGCAATGACATGGTTGTCTTTCTTGCAGTATCTGCAGAAGAGATTACCCTTAGGTGTCTCTTTGCCTTTACCCTGACCAGCAGCAAGTAATGCAACAGAGTCCACTGCTTGCGTCTCCTGGTTAGGTTTGGTCACTTGTCTCTCATGTTGGATAGCATAGTGGAAGGCAACCTCCATTGATGGTAATGGAGTCATCATGAACAGGTTTGTTCTAACCCCTCCATATGCATCATTTAAACCAGTAATGAATCTAGACACAAATTCATTCTCTCTGTATTTTCGAACAGTAACCTCAGTAACACAAGCATCAGGTCTAGCTCCAACTCCACCACAAGTACAACTCGGAATAGGCAAAAACTGAATCAATTCTTCCCAGTGTGCTTTCAATTCAGTGTAGTATTGGTTGACTGACTTGTTACCTTGTTTGAGGGTGTAAACAGCTGTCTGAAGATCCCCAATTCGGATGTTATCAGCCTGCCCAAATCTCTGCCTCAGATCTTCCCAGAGTAACCTTGCATTGTCTTGAGATGAGACGCTGTCCACCAGGCTTGGGTCGAGGGAGCTGAGAATCATAAAGTAAACGGCTGTATTACTTTGTTCCCAAGCTGGGTAGTGCTCACTGGTCAGATCTGGAGCTGGAAGAGTCCCATTGATGAACCCCAACTTGTTCTTGCTTTTCAGGGCAACTCTGACCGTTCTGCTCCAAAGGTTGTAGTTGGCAGTCCCGGTGAGCTTGATCGGGAAAACAAGAGCTTCATTAGGGTTTATGTAGTAAGGGTTGGTGACTGGGTTTGGGACAGGTTGAAGAGGACCTGAAGCAGTGGAACCAGTGTTTGCTTCCGTCGCCATTGTTTAGCTTTCGAAAGTAGAAGAAGGAAGAAGATAGGAGGAAGAATGCGGGATGGGTATGGTGAAAACCCTAGATGCCTGAACCAGGCTCTGATACCATGAGAAATCTGGTAATGAGCTGGATTGTGGTGGAAACCCGCAGGGTTTCTGGTTGCCTCAAGGGCATGTTATATATGTGCAAATAGAGCTGACTGTACAGGGGAAGAAGAAAGAAAGGAAAAACAAAATATAACGGTAACTATTCTATCTCCCTATCAATCTAAGCCACGCGTCTATGTACAGTAAAATCGGAATGGGTAACTAACACTGAGCGGAACGACACCGTTCTCGCTCAGCTCCTCAATTGCTTCCGAGATAGAACGACGACGTTCCTCGAGCTCCTTCAGTGTCAGCAATGGCGGATCCTCCTCGACTTCAATCCAATCCTGTATCTATATATATATCTTGATAAGCTAGCTCTATATATAGAATAGAAGACGTCCTCCCGGGCCCGCTCTGAGCTAGCCATGGATTCATTCAGGTATTTCGCTCGATCGATCGGTCTCTCTATCTTTTTATGTTTTGTCACTTGCATGCATGTACATGCAGACTACAGATTACATTACATTAATTCTGATCTATGTTATCTCTCGCGTCCGTGCCTACTTATTGCAGGGTTGCAGCATTTCCACTTAACTGAAGTGACCACGACAACAACAACAACATTTTCCTCTCGATCTCCGACGTACTTCACCAACATATATATAATGGGTGCTAATGATTGGGAGGCCAGTACATCCACAGCTCCAAGCCTAACCTTTCCGCGGCCCGACCGGGACCCCACAACACCGGCCGCTGCCACAGATCGAAGGGTAACATCTCGGCTGCCGGAGCACGACGGCACCACGCCGGACACATATATCCATCCTCTTGATATCTTAGTCGCGTATACTACACTACTCCTCCATCCGATTTTTATTTTCTTTTTCTTGCTAATTAAATTTCAACTTAATTTCTGTATAAAATAATATTGAACACCGTAGTTAATTAGGGATCGCCTAAATATGTATGTTGACGTGCATATGAGATTTTTTTAACACTAGAATATTGCTATTCTCCTATAATATATAATATATGGATCAGATAAAAAAAATGTGTAGAGCTAGCTAGCTAGCTTTTTCTCGACCAATTTGTTAATATTTTAGCTAGCTACCAAAATATAATTATTATTTGTAAATGCTAGTCTTTTTCAAACAAATCTAGTTTGGTTGTAAAAAAATTTGTTGCGAAATCTATTCTACTTTTTATGGTTGTAGTGTGACTTTGTTCTTCTTCTACCTTAATCCCTTCCCTTAATGTATCAATAAATAATGTAGATGTTGGTTTTGCAGGCGAGCAACAAGTTCCGCATCATCAACTTCAACTCCACCAATGGCGGCGGCTAATAATCGAATTCGAAGGGTAACATTTCGGCTGCCGGAGCTGGAGACCAGAACACCGGCCGGCGCCACATATCTCCATCCCCTTGCTTCCTTAATCGCGTACGTACACTCGATTCGTTTATTTTTTATTTTTTTTCCCCAATACATTTCCACTTAATTTCTGTATAAAATATTGAATATATACAGTATGTTGACGTACAGAACAGATTGCAACAGTACTAGGATGGATGCTATTCTTCTAGCTAGTATGGATCATCAGTTAAAAAACATGTAGAGCTAGTTAGTTACTGAGCCTATTCTCAATCAATTTGTTAATATTTTAGCTACCAAAATATAATTATTTGCATATGCACGCAAGCTTTCTCGACCAAATATAGTTTGGTAGTAAAAAAATTTATCGTTGAATTTGGTTGTAAAATTTTTGGTTGCGAAACCTACTCTAATATATACATGTGACTTGTTGTGTTATGTTGGTTTTGCAGGCGAGCTAGCAGTATCATTAGTTCCCTCTCTACCATTTGCCACAACGTGGCCATGTTTTGCAACGAAGGATGGTGGGTAATAAAGCCTTCATCAATGACTACATTAGCCCTAGCTGCGTCTTTCCCGTTTTTCTTGTACGGATACGGTAAGTAATTTAGATCCAAGAATTAATAACTTTGTTTCTATTATTAATTTTTATTAGCTAAGCTTAGATAGGAACCCATAAAATTCTTTGCGGGATTTTCAACTTTATCGGTGCAAAATCCACTATGCAAAGATCGAACATGCAGTTGTTGTTAATTATTATGCGTTTCCATACAAATTTTGGGTTCAAGGTTTGGGCTGGACGTAGTGTTAATTTTGATCTTGGCCTCTGATGTGTTGTCCAGTGCCTGACAATAGCCATTGTTTGGTTCGAAATAATCCAAATTGAACCATCAAATTCCTAACCAATAAACCGAACCACGTACCCACCAGACCTAAGTCTAAGTCTAAGCCCACTGCCACACTATCTCGGGCTAGTCCTACCCTCCCAAACACAGTCTGACCCACACTTCCTCCAGCCCACTAGGCCCGGCCTCAGCCCAAATCTAAGCCTAACAAGACAGGAGTATGAGATTGGAGGAGTGTATGGCCGGAGTTTAATTAGGTAGCTAGGAAGGGAAATCGAATTGGGAAAGTGATAAGATAGGGTAGTTTGGTGGTTCAGTAAAAACCAACCGTTATTGCTCAATGCGTAACAGGAACTCAATCCCCAAAAATCGAGTGCAACGGTCAACTGGGTTCAAAGCTAGAAGAAGCACCTCAATCCGACAGCGTTTTGGATGGTTAAGAGTTAGAGCTGATGCGACGACGTTTTTCCTTTCTTCTTTGCCTGTATTAGTTTTCGTTCAAACTTTCTGCTTGTTTCCTCTCCAACCTTGTGGACAAACTGTACTGCTTATTGTCACTTTCTGTAAGTTTCTTTGCCTATAAAAGGGCAGAACAAGTGAATGAGAAGATCAAGTTTTAGGGTTTCAACCCACATTTTAGATCTGTTTTCATGGTATGTGTTGATATGATTTGAATCGGACTATCAGCCGCTACGACTTAAATACTTCTCATACTCCTCTGTAATCTGTAATCTCCTCAGATATAGTGAAACTGGCTCTCTCTCGCCCGTGGACTAGCTAACACACATCGTGTTAGTGAACCACGTAAATCGTGTGTCTGTGTTCTTTCGATTCTCGCTTTCGTATTCTTGCTTTGTCCATTCCGGCGATTTCCCGATCCGTAGCAGCGCGTTTATAACAGTATGAAAGCCTTAGGGCGCCGCCATGGCTACATCCGAACCACAAAATGATGCTTTACCATCTGGTGATCTCTCTACTCCCTATCCTATGGAAGATCCATACTTCCTTCACGGCTCTGAGCAGCCTGGTTCTCTTCTTGTCAGCGAGAAACTCACAGCAACCAACTACAACGACTGGAGCCGCGCGATGTTTAATGCGCTTGCAGCCAAAAACAAGCTCGGTTTCCTCAATGGTGCTATTCTTGAACCTGCAGAAACAGATCCAAAGAGAAATGCTTGGGTCAGGAACAACATAATGATCCTCAGTTGGATCCAACAGGCAGTGGAATCTGAAATCAGAAAGACCATTTTATCCAGCAAATCAGCAGCAGAGGCATGGAAAAGTTTGCAGACAAGATATGGCTCTGGTGACATTGTTCGAGTTGCAGAAATAGAAGAAGAACTCTGTAGCTTAAAGCAAGGTACACAAACTATCACTAAGTATTACAGTAAGGTCATTACTCTTCGTGACGAACTTGATAACTATAAACCTTTGATTCCTTGTGCTTGTACAACTACGAGTCACAATACCTATCAAGCAATGAAATTGGTCCATGAATACCAAGAGACTAGTTATGTCATCAAGTTCTTGCGTGATTTAAACGAGAACTTCTCTGCTGTTCGATCACAAGTTCTGTTTGGGGATGCCTTACCAGACATAAATAGGGTCTTTCAACGAATGCTACAACATGAAAGACAGTTATATGGCACTCAACGAGCTAAACTCATAGCTTCTGTCACTACTGATAATTATGCTATGGCTATCCAAGGGGTTAACAGACGCCCTAACTCAACTCAAAAAAGGCCTTACTGTGTTTTTTGCAAAAGAGATGGTCACACAGAGGATGTTTGCTTTGTCAAACATGGATATCCCCCAGGCATGTCTACCAGACCATCTCCCTCAAATCAACAGGGCACCATCATTGAATGTACTTTCTGTGGCAAGCATGGTCATCTTGAGGAGAAGTGTTTTAAGAAACATGGTTTCCCTGCCAACTATGTTCCCAGGACTACTACTATAACTTATGGTAGGGGCAAGGGTTATGCTAATTCTGCTGTGTCTACTCATGATGATTCTGTCAAGCTTACCAAGGCTGATTATGACAAGCTAATGGCCCTGGTTGGCAACTCTAAACAGCATCCTCCTCACACTGCTGCTGCTTTCACTACCACTTCTGTTGCTTCAGGTACATGTTTTTTTATCTGCTCCAACCAACCACATAAATCCCACACACAGTTTCACCTGGATTCTTGACACAGGTGCCTCTGACCATATAATCTCATGCCTAGATTACTTAGTGAATCATATTCCTGTTTCTGGGATCTACATTACCCTACCTACTGGCCAACAAATTCCAGCCACTTACAAAGACACAGTTCATTGCACTGATGAATTAACTCTTCAGGATGCTCTCTTTGTTCCTGGATTCAGTTTTAATTTGGTCTCACTCAGCAAGCTCACTGCTCATAACTCATTGAGCTTAACATTTCACTCCAACCTTTGTGTCATACATGATCTGGAGCAGAAGAGAGTGACTGGTTCTGCTAGATTGACAAATGGACTTTACTACCTAGAAGCCACTAGTAATCCTAAGATCTTCACAGTTGCAAGCTCCAACACTTTTAATTTATGGCATTCCAGATTAGGACACCTGTCTCATTCGAAAATTCCTTATCTTCATCAATTTTGTACCTCCATTGAGACCCAAAGGGGTTTGCCCTGTGATGTTTGTCACTTTGCTAAGCAAATGAGACTTCCTTTTCCATTAAGCTAGTCTGTAACCACACATGCTTTTGAACTCCTTCATGTTGATATATGGGGACCCAACCCTATTCCTTCCTATGATTCATACAAATACTTCCTCACTATTGTTGATGATTTCTCTAGAATGACTTGGGTCATTCTCCTTCAACTCAAATCTGAGGCCAGACCTAAACTAATTGCCTTTTGCAATCAAATGCAACTGCAGTTTCAAACACAAATTAAAAGAATCCGCAGTGATCAAGGAAAAGAATTTGAAATGAATGATTACTATGATTCCCAGGGCATTATTCATGAAATGTCCTGCGTTGAGACCCCTCAACAGAACAGCAAGGTGGAACGCAAACACCAGCATATCCTTGTTATTGCTCGCGCTCTCAAATTCCAGGCTGACATGCCACCTGGTTTTTGGAGTGACTGCATCAAACATGTAGTATACCTCATCAACCGTGTTCTATCTTCTGTTCTCCACAACCAAACACCCCATGAAAAACTCCACAACTCTCCTCCTGACCTCACTGATTTAAGAGTTTTTGGTTGTTTATGCTATGCTTCCTCTCTAGCCAATCACATAACAAAATTCCAGCCTAGAGCTAGAAAAGGAGTCTTTTTGGGTTACAAAGCTGGCATTAAAGGTTATAAGATCTATGATCTAGACTCTCATAATGTTTTTGTTTCAAGGAATGTCATTTTTTATGAATTCCATTTCCCATTTAAATCATCTACCTCTCAATCCAATTCATTTTCTACTTCTGATTTGATCTTTCCCTTACCTAATCCTGTTCTTCCACTCATTGATGAAACCCCAGTCATTCACCCAACTACTCCCTCACCCATTTTATCCCCTTCTCCTGATTATCCTCTCCCTTTTATTGACCATGTTTCATCTCCTGGTTCTACTTCACCTCCCACTTCTCTCAGTCCCACACCTAGTTCTTCCTCTCCTTCTTCCTCTACACAATCCTCTCCTTCTCTTGTACCTCTTCCCAACCCTGATCCACAACTTCCTAGACGTTCAAACAGAACCTCCAAACCACCAGCCCACTTTACCAAAGATTACCACTGTTATCTAGCTTGTCAATCTACTGGTAAAGGTCACTCTCTTCAGCACCAGCTCCCAGACTCAAGGTATGGACTTTCCTCTATGATCTCATATGATAATCTCACCCCATTTTACAAGAGCTTTGTCCTCAACATTTCTTCTTTTGTTGAGCCAACAACATACAAAGAGGCATCCAAATCTGCTGAGTGGAATGCATCAATGCAACATGAAATTAAGGCTTTGCTTCAAAACCAAACGTGGGATGTGGTTGAACTGCCACTAGGCAAGAAACCTATAGGTAACAAATGGGTTTACAGGATCAAGGTTCACCAAGATGGTTCTATTGAAAGATTTAAATCTACGGTTGTGGCTAAGGGTCATACACAGCTAGAAGGAGTTGATTATCAGGAAACTTTTGCTCCTGTTATTAAAATGACAACCATCAGAACTTTTCTAGCTATTGCTGCTTTAAGGAATTGGCACATTCACCAGTTGGACGTGAATAATGCCTTCCTTCATGGAGACTTACATGAGGAAGTGTATATGACCCTACCTAAGGGCTATCAACCACCTTCTGGTTTCAACAACCCAGTTTGTAGACTAAAGAAATCCTTATATGGCCTTAAGCAAGCTTCAAGGCAATGGTTCTCAAAGCTTACTGATAAACTTCACAAGGTTGGTTATTCTCAGAGCAAAGCAGATCACTCTTTATTCTACAAGGTTACTGATTCCAGTTACACTTGTATTTAGGGCTGTTAGCGGTGCGGTTTCGGTTTTAACCGAACCGCAAAGTCGGTTAGCCGACACCGAGAAGGAGGTGAAATCCTCAACCGTCACCGACACCGACTGCACTATCGGTTAGCCGATAACCGCAGCCGACGGTTTCGGTGGGATGGGCGGTTAGCCGAGAAGGCCTGGAAATTGGGGAGTCGGAGCGACGGGCAAGGTGAGGATGTGGACGAAGGCGATTTGTGTGATTGGACTGATGCGCGACGGAGTGGGGATGTGGACGGCGGCGCTCCGGTGGTGGTGTCTGGTGTGGGCGCTCCTTGCCATGCTCATGCATGTGACTGGAAGTCAAAGAGGTAGAGGAAGAAGGCCATGGCGCCGCCGACGACTACGAGATGGATTTATTGGCGAGGTGCCGCCGTCGGAGCAAAGATAAGGGGTGGCGAGGTCAGAATTTGGGAGAATTGAGATGGAAAGGATTTTGGGTTTGTGTGGGATTTTGGTGGAGAAGGGGAGGCGAGGACGATTTAGAGGAAGGAAAGATGTTGGATTTGAGTTAGAGGAAGATTTGAGGCCTGGATCGGAAGGAAGGAGCTGGGCGGAGAGGTAGAGTAAGGTGGGGATCGGGAGGATGAAGGAGTTGGGGGCAGCGAGAGATCAAAGGGATGGTTGGTCGGTTAGATCGGTTAGCAACTGATAATCTTCGGTTAGCAACCGATAACCGCCGGTTAGTGAATAACTCCAAATTAGCCAACCGACACCGACACTGAGATCTTATTTTTTGGTTTTCGATTAATCAATAAACCGATATTTCGGTTCGGTTTTTTGGTTGGCCGACTAACCGGTCACCGATTATCACCCCTACTTGTATTTGAATCTATGTTGATGACCTACTGGTAGGGGGCAATGATCTAGTTGCCATTCAAGATCTCAAGGACTTCCTTCACTCTGAATTCAGTATCAAGGATTGGGTGTCCTTAGGTTTTTCCTGGGCATGGAAGTGGCTAGAAACAACAAAGGGATCCATCTATCACAACGCAAGTATGCTCTTGAAAATCATAGAGGAAGCTAATTTGCCAAACTCATCTCAGCAGCACCTATGAGATTCCTTTTGATGACCCTGAACTCTATCGTACCTTAGTGGGCAAACTGATTTATCTTACCACTACTCGCCCTGATATCAGTTTTGCCACCCAACAAGTAAGTCAATTCATGGACAGCCCTAGTGTTCAACATTTTAAAGCAGTTCAAAGAATACTAAGCTATTTGAAATGTGCCCCAGCCACATGTCTTTTCTTCCCATCGAAGGGCCAATTTCAGCTAAAGCCTTTTCAGACTCAGACTGGGCTGCTTGTGTCGAGACAAGGCGATCAATTACAGGATATTGTGTTTACCTGGGTGATTTGCTCATCTCCTGGAAAAGCAAAAAGCAGCAGACTGTTTCCAGATCTTCTTACGAAGCTGAATACAGGGCTCTTGCCTTCTCTGCATGTGAACTCCAATGGATTCTCTATCTCCTCCATGATTTCCAGGTCTTGCATCCTCACCCAACTCATCTTTATTGTGACAATCAGAGTGCCATTTATATCGCTGACAACCCCACCTTCCATGAACGCACCAAGCACATCGAACTCGACTGCCACTTGGTGCGCGACAAGCTTCAAGCAAATATCCTCAACCTCTTTCATGTCTCCTCCACTCACCAGCTTGCAGATCTCTTCACCAAACCCTTATCCCCTGGCCCTTTCCTCCAATTGCTTTCCAAGCTCGGTGTGCACAACCTCTGCCCACCGGCTTGCCGGGGGGTAACAGGAACTCAATCCCTAAAAATCGAGTGCAACGGTCAACTGGGTTCAAAACTAGAAGAAGCACCTCAATCCGACAGCGTTTTGCATGGTTAAGAGTTAGAGCTAATGCGACGACGTTTTCCCTTTCTTCTTTGCCTGTATTACTTTTCGTTCAAGCTTTCTGTTGGTTTCCTCTCCAAGCTTATGGATAAACTGTACTGCTTATTGTCACTTTCTGTAAGTTTCTTTGCCTATAAAAGGCAGAACAAGTGAATGAGAAGATCAAGTTTTAGGGTTTCAACCCACATTTCATATCTGTTTTCAATGCGACTTGCGAGATGAATAAATTATTGGTTATTGCTCAATGCATGCAGACATGGCGAGCTCCGATTGGGCAGATGCCGTTTGGCACGACCTGCACCTCACTCACAGCCAGATGTCATTCTACATGACATACGCGGGCAGGCTGTCCTACGCTGTAGGCGCCTTTGTCGCCGGAGTGGCAGCCAACCGGCACGGCAGGAAGTACATTTTTGTCGCTGGAGGCGTGGTTTACATAATAGGGGCATTGGTCGCGGCCTTCACGACCAACTTTGTTGCGTCGTCGTTGGGACGTGTGGCTGGTGGTTTCGGCATTGGGATGGGTCTCCTTGTGGGACCCATCTACATCGCCGAGACGGCACCCTCGACTACTCGTGGTTACCACGGTACCTTTCCTCAGGTAATTTTACATAATTAATTTGTTATAGTTTTCTCTCTCTCTCTCTTTTAACTAGAACTAGAATGCGATGCTAAGTTAATGTAGTACGTAGTAACATGGTTCAATGTTGTATTTCTATCTTTTGCAAGGTACTGATGGCAGTGGGGACGATAACGGCCTACCTTCTGGAATTGGCACTCGTTCGGGTTCCACGACACGTAGCATGGAGGGTGATGGCGGGGGCTCTCACGCTACCCACCGGGTTCTTCACCTACTTTGTCTTCTCGCGTTGGTTCTCTGACACGCCGTGCTGGCTAATGATGATCGGTCAGGTTAGGCTCGCCGAGGAATTGATGGAGCGGTGTGGGGCCACAGGCGCGGAGCCTTGGGATAGGAGGGAGCAGCTGGAGCACGTTGCTGGGTTCCCCTATCGCTCCATAGTCGATCCACGTCGGGTGGATCTGTTCCCGGGTCGGATCACCGGGTTCTGGGCCCAGGTGGAGGACCAGTTTGGTTCCCAGGTTCGAGACCTGTGTAGCACCACGGTCTTGCTCGTCGCCCAAGAGGTGACGTGCGAGCAGATGGCTCTCCACCTCGTACCCATCATCCTCGTACGGAACGGGTTTGGATCGCTGCCGTCCTTCTCGGTTGTACTGATGGTGCTTGCCTGTGCCAAGCTGATCGCGACGACGGCCTCGTTGCACGGAGTGGGGAGGTCGATGGCAGGGCGGAGGCGGCTGCTGCTTGCGGGGATGGGGCTAGCCGGATGCTCCTTGGGGTTGCTCGCCGGGACGAGTTTTGCCGATGCGCATGAGCGCATTGGTCGCGGAGCAGCGTTTGTGCTGTTGAGCTTCGAGATCTTTGCACTGCAGGCGGCGATTGGGATCGCAGTGGGGCCCATACCCTGGATGTACGGTCCAGAGTTGTTCCCGCTTGCCGTGCGAGCGCCCAGTGTTGGCCTTTGCCTCACGCTCAAGTTTTTGTCTACTCTACTGTTTAACTGGGCTCTCGGTGGTTTTGTACTGTACTCCACTTTTGATAGAGTCTGGTTAGGCTTTTTGATAGCTTTTGGGCTCACCGTAGTTAGTTTCTTGGTTTCTTTTAGATTGGCTAGAGACACTACTTGTCGAGTGTTGGTAGATGATCCGTAGACTGTAGTTGTTCTTTTTTTCCTTCTCTTTTTTTTTTATTATCAATTTAGGTGTAAGATATTCATTCATTCCTTTTGGAGTATCTACACATAATATAACTAGTTTTTTACCCGCCCGTTGGGCGGTGTATTTTGTTTGGTTATTTTATAATTCGTTATAGTATTCTAATTGTTATTATTATATATGTTTGTTAAGGTAATATACATGGATTGTAAATCCCATTTACCTTATTTCAGATATTGTTTCATACTTTTATACCTTTTGTTTATTTATGAACATTTTAATTTTATTAACTGAGCTCTTTGTAGACTGTTTTTTATTGATTTAGAATTTTTTTTATCTAACTCGCTCTTTAAGATTATAAACATAAGAGTTATTCATTCTTTAGCACATAATTGTGATAAAGAAGTTAAAAAATTTACAGCCATAAAAGAAGAAGTTAGAATAAGCAAAAATATGCTTCAATTAATAAAAAAAATAAGCGAAGAGCTTTTTTTCCCTTTTCCTTCTCATATGTCGGTATATGATAATAGAGAATATTCCGATCTAAACCCCATGAATATCGTGCATCATCACTTACACATACAATTTTGGAATAATGCGGAAACTCATTAGCATCCACGTCCATCAATCTTCCACGTACTCGTTTAATTACTTTGAAATGTTCTAGCAAAACCGACCACAAACAAAACTATCAGTTGTCACTAACTTATTAAAGCAATATTTTCAGCAAATTAAACGGCACGTTTTGGCCAAACAGAAGATAATGTGGGGATTGAAAGAGATAATCTTTAAAAAAAATGATCCGAGGAGCTCTCTCCTCTCTCCTCAGATTTTTTTGGTCGGTGATCGTCTTTCTTCTTGCGGCCGCCGGAGAAGCAATCGGTAGATTGGCAGGCCGGGTTTTGGCGGTGGTGTTTGCTAATCAAGGTGTGCAAAATGTGCTTTGGATTGAGCGGCTCCTTGCGACGAAGGGTCTTGGACATCAGACTCAGCCCAGAGCGGCGTCACTTGAGGCTCATCATCGGCAAGAGATACCAAGGCAGCGCCCCTGCACTTGGAAAAGACAGGGCGGTAGGGGGCATGACATCCCCAAACAGAAAAGAAGCCTTACGATCGATTTCCTGCCCAATGGAAATAAGAATAAACGATTCAGGCGATGCAAATCGCCGAGGTGGTGTTTCCGTCTCCCTTCTCCGGAGGAGATTGAAGGAATGTTGTGGGAAACTCCAATTTTGAGGTCAAATAGCCAACCTAAGGATAAGAAAAATGAAATTGTAGACCCTGAGCAGAAAGTACTCAGATCCCGGAATGGGGCGAGGACATTCGGTGTTGGGTCTAGTATTAACCCGCCTAATACGGGCCCAAGCCCACCACAAAGCGTCTCACCTTGGGCCCAAGCCCATTCTAGGGTCCAGTACACCGGGAGGCGTCCAGCCTACCCGGGGGCGTCCACCACCGGGAGGCGTCCATTCACCGGAAGGCGTCCATCGACGGAAGACGTCCACCACCGGGAGGCGTCCATTCACCGGAAGGCGTCCACCACCAGGAGGCGTCCATCGACGGAAGGCGCCCACCACCGGGAGGCGTCCAATGGATGCCTTCGACTCCTATATAAGGAGGCCAGACCCTCCAAGCAAAGGGACTTCTTCTCTCCCTTCCCTCACTTTACCACTTATGGTTCTCTCTCTAAACCCTATCTCTCTCTACATTTCTCTCTACACTCTATCATATATCCTATTCTAACTTGGGCGTCGGAGTGTAGATCACGGGGGCCGCCCCCGACTCTCCACAGGTTTCTTCCACTCCCGAGGAGATCAGACGAGGGAGTCCGGATCAAGGTTCCACACTAATCACCCGGCACTAATCCGGGTCAAACATTTTGGCGCCCACCGTGGGGCCTGATTTGGTACCACTGACGGCTCCGACCGCAAAATCCCATCAGAGGATTGAAAGAAATCAGTCTCACTTCTCCAACTACAAGCTCCAAGTAGCGCTCGCCGCCGTAGCCCGGCCGTTGGTCTCCACCAGCACCGGAGCTGACCCTCGTCCTCCGTCACCTACCGTCCCGTCTGCCGGCGTCACAAGTCGCTGTCACCCTTTCCCTTTTCCCTCTTCCCCAAAAAGCAGACAAGTCGCTGTCACCCTTTCCCTTTTCCCTCTTCCCCAAAAAGCAGGTTGTCTGCTACTTTTTGCAGCCCACTGTGGAGTCACATCAATGTCAGTTTCTCTCTCACAAGAGGAGCAGGTCCCACCTTCCTTTTTGCAGCCCACGACACTGTCACAAAAACCGCCTAACAATTGGGCCGCCTGACTACATCGGGCCCAGGACCGCCTCTAGCCCATATACGCGTTCAACACAGAGTTTCGCGTCCCGCCAAAGACCCGACAGAGTCTCTCCACCAACGGCCCATGCAGTCGTGACCCGCCGCCAGGCCAATCCAACCCGCCTTCCGATAGGCGGCCCAACCAGCGCCGCATGAAGGCCTCCAAATTCGTCAACGTGGGCCGCAGCCATACCGCCTCGACCTCGGAAGGTCCGCTTCGTAAAGTCAAGCACGGCCCGCGTATGCACGGCCCACCATCAACCGCTTGACCCAGCTTCAGTCAGCTCAATCCGGGCTCAATTAAAAAGAAATGTCAACCGCCTCAGCCAACCTTCGAACCGCCAACCTCCCTTTGATAGATAAATGCGCCAACCAGTACGCCACAACAACTCTTTGCTGATCAACAACGCAGCAGCCAATACTTAAAGTCACTCCAGCCCGACACGCCTCATTCAGGCCAACAAGGCCCGGCGAATTCTCGGCCCAACCGCATTCGGCCGCCAACCGTGCAACCGCACACCTCACTTTGGGCCCGCCTTCAACTCACAACGTGTCTGGTCCGCTTTGTATGTTGAGCCCACCTACATTCGGCCCGCCAACCGTGCGACCGCACAACTCACGTCTGGCCCGCCTCCAACTCAACAACGTGTTGGGTCCGCTTTGTATGGTGAGCCGCATCAATGGGGCCTCCGCGTCCGAAGACCGCAACCCAGCATACCTTCAACTCATAGCCCACAAGAGGCCCACGAGTGAAGCCTAGCCGCTCCGCAACAAAGACTACAACCACCTCCAGCGCGGCCCGCCTTCCGCGCATGATGACATCAGTGTCCAGCAAGCCCACGAGTGAAGGAGTTCAATTAAAACCCAGCATACCTTCAACTCATAGCCCACAAGAGGCCCACGAGTGAAGCCCAGCCGCTCCGCAACAAAGACTACAACCACCTCCAGCGCGGCCCGCCTTCCGCGCATGATGACATCAGTGTCCAGCAAGCCCACGAGTGAAGGAGTTCAATTAAAAATAGTGTTGGAAAGGCGTCCATGGAGGATCGAACACCCATTCTCCTTGTACTAGAGGAAGCGCATACCACTGCACTACAGAACATTTTGTGAATTAAAATGTGACCGCCAATATTTCATACAGTTTTCTACTGCGTCTCCTATAGCTAAGTTCTCTCTTTCAAGATATATCTTATATCATATGCCATGAAGATGCCTATTACAAATCATGCTAGACAAAATATATCTCATATGCCATGTCATGCTATGAAGAGACTCATTTCCACTATACTAGGACATATTTCACGCATGCTATACTTCTGTTTGTGCTCTAAAAATATGGGGCACTAGTCACTCACATCTTTTGCAGATATAAAACCGCATCTCGCTCCCTGAGCGATGCTTCCCTCTACGTAGAAGTCCGAAACCGCCTCCCAGTAGGCGCGCCATCGGTATAGCTAGAAACACGATCCCGCCTCCCAGCAGGTGTGGCATCTTCAAAACAAAAACGCCGCCTTGAGTTAAAACTCTCAAGTCGTGGGGGCCGCCCTCCCTAGCACATAGCCAACGCCTAATATTTAGCCAACAACTCACGCTTAACATGCACACAAGCTCATGCCCACCTCGCGATCCAACAACTTAACGCATACGGCTCACAGTTACGGCCTACATATTAGCACACTCGGCAATGGGCTAGTGGGGAAATCTCAAACGACTTGAGAGCTCTAACTCAAGACATCGAATGCTAAGCAAAGAAGCAAAGACGATGGCCGCACAAGGGGCAAACCGCATCGTCAAAACTCGCAAAGGTCCAATCCACTCGGGGGCGTCCATCACCGGGAGACATCCTGTCACCCGGGGGCGTCCATTACTGGGAAGCGTCCCGTCCACCGGGAGGCGTCCATCACCAAGGGCATCCATCACCAAGCAAGGGTCGCACAAGGGGCAAAACCGCATCGTGCGGACTCGCAAGTAAGGCAAGTTAATACACCTTAACGCATTATTTTACTCCTTCCATTCTTACAGAATACAAGAAGCAAAGGGGCAAATGTTGGGTCTAGTATTAACCCGCCTAATACGGGCCCAAGCCCACCACAAAGCGTCTCACCTTGGGCCCAAGCCCATTCTAGGGTCCAGTACACCGGGGGGCGTCCATCACCGGGAGGCGTCCAGCCTACCCGGGGGCGTCCACCACCGGGAGGCGTCCATTCACCGGAAGGCGTCCATCGACGGAAGGCGTCCACCACCGGGAGGCGTCCATTCACCGGAAGGCGTCCACCACCAGGAGGCGTCCATCGACGGAAGGCGCCCACCACCGGGAGGCGTCCAATGGATGCCTCCGACTCCTATACAAGGAGGCCAGACCCTCCAAGCAAAGGGACTTCTTCTCTCCCTTCCCTCACTTTACCACTTATGGTTCTCTCTCTAAACCCTATCTCTCTCTACATTTCTCTCTACACTCTATCATATATCATATTCTAACTTGGGCGTCGGAGTGTAGATCACGGGGGCCACCCCCGACTCTCCACAGGTTTCTTCCACTCCCGAGGAGATCAGACGAGGGAGTCCGGATCAAGGTTCCACACTAATCACCCGGCACTAATCCGGGTCAAACATTCGGTATGCAGGCGTGGCACTTCAAGATCCCATCGGTCTTTGTGAAGGATGAGGATGCGGAAGTGCTTTGTGAAAATTGTGTTAATCCGGGATTGGTAGTAGCGCCGATCGTCCTTATCGAAACGGTGGTGTCACGATTCAGACCCCGGAATGGGGCGAAGCCTGGGTCAATACGAGAGGGGGGATTACAGAAAATTGGTTCGGCCGGCTATCGTCCGATGAGGCCCTCCTGGCCAAGCTTGTGCCGGCGCCCTATCCTCTCGACAAGCCTTGTTGGGATTGGACTCTCAACGACCCCAAGGAGAATCCTTCCCCTTATCGAAGACGTTATCTTCCTAACCACCAGTATTTTGCAAAAGGCGGAGGGATAACTACTCATTTAGATTTCAAAAACCGAAATCGTAGTCTCCTAACCCAACTACTCCTTCCCCGACGGATTTCCCTACAGCCATAGCTGGGTTATTTAAATCACTCAACTGGCCCTTTGTTTCACGATTGCTCTAAAGACAGAAAGCAGACGATTGAGCAAGAGGGCTGGCAGCGAAATAGAGTGCAGCTTGAGGAACGAAAATTCTCTGGTAAGTGGTTTCTGTATCCGGCTGAAATCCTCTTTCGTGTTTTGGGAGATACCAATACCGTGCACATTATAGGCTACTTATGTTGGGGATTCCCTTGGTCGATAGGGGCGGGTTTCGGGTTTGCCTACATTACGCCTTCTGAATCTCTACCTTTTCAGGTGGAATCCATGGCGCGAATCACTAACGACCAAGTGGTGGAATTCTCCCTCGAAGAGATCCAAGCTACTCATGTTCGCAAATCACAAATGCTCATTGGTCGGCTTTTCTCTGATGATCGGCTCTCCACTGCCGAGCTGCGGGATGCGGTGAACCGGCCATGGCAAGGTCAAGGTCGTATCATTGTGCGTGAGCTGTCGCATGATCTATATGAATTCACTCTCCCGTTGGAGGCATCCAAATCATGGGTTTTACAGCGAACCCCATGGATCGTTGCAGATAGAATTCTACATTTGAAGGCATGGGTCCCCTCAATTTCTCATCGCACTTTTGAAGAACTTGCGATCGTCCCTCTCCGCATCCAATTATGGGATATCCAGGACGACTGCTGTACTCACCAATTTGGGCGGAAGATAGTTACTTCCACAATAGGGCGCGTTTTGGAAGCTGGCGTCCTCTCTAGTGCTGACAGTGCCCGAAGGTTTGTCAAAGTGAAAGCCCTGGTGGATTTTTCCAAACCACTTCGATCTCAGATCATGGCAACAAACGATGAGACTGGCGGTTTTTGGATCCGTTTTAAGTATGAATTCCTCCCAAATTTCTGTTTTAAATGTGGATGTGTGGGACATGCTCGTCAGGCATGCCGTTTTGATCCACCAACAAGGAAGGAAAAGTTTGGGCCTCATATGTCAACTAAGAAAATGGGGAGGAGGATTTTCGATGGTGATGAAGCACGATTCCAGGCACCGCAGCTTCCACGTTCTGTGTGGGTTAACACGGAGGTTCATGGGCCTCAGCACACAGGATCAGGCCCGGATCTGGGTGCACAAAAGCTTGGGTCGAACAGACCACCCAAGAACGCAGGAGCAGAGGCGGATATGGGCTCACGAAAAGCTGGGCCGAACAGGCCACCCAGCTGTGGGCCTGAGGATGGATCAGAGAGCCCGCTGTGGATGGGCTCGTCTAGTAATCCGTTTGCTACCACTGAAGCCCGCGTCCTGGGGAGAAGCCCAATACAATTTTCGGTGGCGAAGGGGCCCAAGCTCGCCATGGGGAAGTCTTCTCGCCGTGGGAAGCCCAGGAACAGACCCCCTCCGAGCCCAATGGAGATTGACGGCCCAAGTAAAGGGCACCTTCAGGCTGGTGAGATGAAGCGGGCTAGGGCGGCAGCTGCTGTCGACCCGGTAGACCTGAATAGGAGGAAAGGGGGAGTTGCGCACCGCCGGCAAGATAAAGCGCCAGTCTCGAGCATCTCGGTGGATCCCAAATCAAAAAAGGTTGAAGGAAAATCAAGACCTCGGGGGCTAATTCTTGAGGAAGAATCGGAAGAGGAGTTCCTCCTCAGTGACATCTCTTCCCTAGCCCAAGCGAAGGACTTGAGTAAAACTGGGCGAATTGCATTCATCTCTTTTCTTTCACTATTTTTTATTTTTAAATAGAAAGTTTAAAAGTAAAGAATAATTAGAATTTGGCATGGGTCGGTCAAAACGGCTGAATTTCAAGTTTTGGCCCGTTTTGATCAAGTCTAATTTATAATCACATGGTTCCTTGATACCCAATAAAATCTCAATCCAAACCAGTTTGGCAGGTGAGTCCGTGTTTACCACCATTTTCTAGGGATACGACAACGGCAGTTCCTATCCCAAATCGTGTTGTTCGTTCTTGATTTCCTTTGATTTTATCATGACCTGACGAAAACCAGAAAGCACAACGATAACAAGATGAAAGTTTTATAAAGCAAATTAATCGGCCAACGGGCCGAGTAAAAGCTAGCAACGATTGTGAGATGCTCATTTCCCGAAAACCGACGAGATAGGCGATTTTTTATTCGATTTTCTGGAATTCGGTTTCTATAAAACTTACTCCACCTCATCATATTACCATAAACAATATTGTTTCACAAGGTAACATGTACTTGATTTTTCGTTGCATCGTTCATGTCTCTTTCCTGCTAAAATTCACTATTTTTATCACGTGTTTCCCAAAAAACAATAAGCTATACACCCCATTACATTATCAAATTTCACACGCTAGTGGATTTATAATCCCTATCCTCTCCCCACTCGTTGTAGACTTGTAGTTTCTTTATAGATTGGAAATAGATAACTCGTGTTTTTTATTTCTTACCAAGTAAAGTGATATATTACCAATAATGATAATCAATTCTTTGATTCTACGAATATATAATCATGGAAACTTTGTTCCCTTATCTTTTAGCAAATTGCAATAGTAATTAAGTTACTACTTCCCACTATATATAAGAGTGGAAGGTGGAGTCGGAAAAAGAGTGGAACCAAAGAGTTGGGAATTTGAAGAGGGGAAAAAAATCGAGATATTATTATGGAGCCGGGCAAGAGGAGAGGGCCAATGATGAGTTTGGTATTGGTGTTCTTAATGGTGACCGCTGGAATGATGATGGATGCTGCTGCGGACACATTCACTGACTGTTACAATGCATGTGTGAAGGATTGTGCGAGTAAAGGGGGAAGCGGAGAAGTTTGCTCGAGGGTGTGCGTGATACAATGTATAAACCCAACAACAATACAACCGTCATTGATACACAACAAGAACCACCACCAATAAGCAAGCTGATAACGGACTTCATTATTTATTTACCTATCTTTTGTTCCATTTCTCTACACCAAGGATGAAATCCTTTTAATAATAACTAGCTTGGTACCCGGACTGTTGGCCGGGAAGTCTTATTTTATTATGTGATTACGTTTTCTTAAGATGAAAATTTTATGCATACATACGGTATAATCATGTTTTCGCCAACATGCAACATATATAATCAGATACTTAATTATTATATTTAAATTATTTTCGTATATATTGTTCTTATAAATGTTTTAAATTTTTCACATGAGACCCTTATGTAAAATTTTGATGACTTCACTTAATTAAAATAAAAAGACTAATTACATAATTAACCACTTGATGCTGTAAAAATAATTTTCTATTTATTGATATAAGCGATACATGTTCCTAACTCAAGATATTCAATCTTCATCTACATATACCAATTCTTTGCTAAGTATATAACATGTCTATGCTAAAATTTTGGGATGTTTAAAATACTCGCTCATGATGGTTTGTTTTTCTAATCTTGATTTGACCTTCACTTATGGGTTAGACATTTCTAGTGCTGGGTTAGTATCTTTATAAAAATCCCACTAAAGGTAATTTATTGGCCAAAATATTCAAATGATTATTTTATATGATATATAAATGTGTGTTTATTATTATCTAAGATATTCAAATGATTTGTACATCCACATAAAATATAGGATATTTGGTAGAAATTATATAATACTTCTTTTTTTTTTTTGGTGAGAAGTTAATAATAGTTCTAAACGTTAAAGATATCAAATATGGTGAAGATAAGTATGGAAATGGGAGTGACGTTAAAAATTCCATGTATTCCTAATATAAATACATGAACGAAAAAAAAAAGAGAATGGAAACACTTAAAACGGAAAACAGCAAAGAAATTTTCTATAAAAAAAACAGCAAAGAAAAATAGATAATGATCAAAATTAAGTGGAAGTTACAAATGACCATCCGAAAAAAATATTAATTTTTTCCCCCCGAAACTCATGAAAAAGCCTGCAAGGCTGACGTGGACAGGGTCTATTTCTAAAACCCCTTTAATATATTTTAAGATAATAATGTTTTTTTTTACAATAGATAATTTCCATTCAAATCAACGATAGGGGTACAAGCCAAACCGAGTTACAAGATCGGATTTAAAATGTCAAGCACTAGGATCCATTCTTGAGGGAGAGATCCATTTGCCGCTCCCTTAGCCACCCAATCTACACTTTTGTTAGTAGATCTTGGTGTGAAGAAGATACTCAATCCGATATGCGTCTGAAGGAGAAAGAGAATCATCTGAATCCATGCTCTAACTTGCCAGGGACCAACTTTTTGCGGATCCTGAATAATGTCGACAAGCACTTTGCAGTCCGAGAAGATTGAAGCATGACCGTGAAGGGAGGCTGTCATTCTCACAGCAGTCAACAAGGCTTTAGCTTCCGCAACTATCACTGAAGAACAGAAAAAGGTCCCAGCACTACCATCCATAACTTGCCCATGGGGGTTTTTGATGATGACCCCATATGCCGCCACATGTGATTCCGATCTGAAGGATCTATCACAATGAACTACTCATTGGGAAGAACTAGGCGGTAGACTAAGCGTAGAATGGTCAGAGATGTGCTGGGAATGGGATCCGAGGACCGATTGGACAAGGCGGGGAGGAG